ATCTTCAGGCCGAATGGTGGACTGCTCACTCACAGACAGTTGTAGGCAGCACAACAGAATCCCGATCCACAGAAGAATGTCTCTCTTCCCAGGATGTCCCTGGATATCCTGGAAGCAGGCCACACCCCTAGGGAAACTCCCCTTCAACAGATTGGCCACTCAGAACACAGTCATCTGATCCGATCATGGGAACAACCACACAGAACTGGGGTCCAGCCAAGTTGACACATAGCTCCAACTATCACATTGGGCAATCTAGTTCTGTAGTGATACTGCCTCAGCAACCCAAGGAGGGGTCGCTGTGAGTCGGGTCTGACTCGACGGCACATAACAACAACAACAGCAATATTCAGTAATCTGGTGGGAGTCACAAAGACTGGTTAGAAAAGCCATACCAAGTAATTCACTGTACCACAGCTGTTTTGTTTCTCTTCATTTATTTCCTACACTAAACTGACTGAATACGATAGAGAGGATGAGAAAAGGGTTATACTCCTCAAACTGTGTCACTTACTCCTTAAACTGTGTCACTTACTCCTCAACATTATCTTAAGAAATTTCAAAGATTCTATAAAATTCCTTTTTTTAGCAGATGATGATGAAGCAGACTCACGAGAGAACTTGTTGAAAGATGTTCAAGAAAATCAATTTCACACACATTCTTTCCGATTTTCAGAGACTTTGATATTTTCACTGTACCATATTGTTTCACAATTTGAAGAACACAAAAATTAAACAAGCAGGATTACTGTTCTTTAGAAATAGCCAGAAAATAGAATACGAATTTCACAGTAACCTTTAAAGGTATAATTCAACTTTTTTCTGTTTTCCTTAATGTGACTCAGTAATATTTGATGATAATATTCTACTTTTAGGTAGAAGAAAGAAAGAAGACAATAGTAGAAGATCCAGTAAAAGCAAGACAAGATATGCCTTAAATAATCAACCAGTAACTTCTGGAAAACATAGATCTAGGAAAAAACAGGTATTTTTTATTATAGTTAATAATACTTATGAATATTAAAAGTCATATAACTTTATTTCCAGTGATTTCTATTATAGCTCTAAAAAATCTAAGTATAAAATGTTTGCTTGTTATCCTCTTTGATTAACTGACTGATATGCCTATCCATACTTCCAATAAAATTCTTCATCTGCACTTTTTAAGTAGTCTTAAGTCTTCAGAAGGAAGATTGGGCAATCTACTTCCGTAGTGATCCCACCCCGGAAACCCAAGGAGGGGTCTCTATGAGTCAAGTCCGACTCGATGGTGTATAACAACAATAACAGCAAGTCAGATGCTGATATCAACATCTTTTTTAAATTATTGTGATACATTGGATATAAAGTAGGAGTTAAATAATCCACATTAAAAGCTTTTGTATTCGCATCTTAACAAGAATCCAATTTAAGAAAGATTCTTCTGTACTTTAAAAGAGAGAGAAGAAAAGATACCATTTGATATGGAATTTTTAAATTTAGAAATTGTCCTTGCTAATATCACAGAACTCTTATTTGCTATCAAAGCATAATCATTAACTGGGTGGTACAGATGGTTATTAACCACAAGGTTGGTGGTTTGAACCCACCCAAAAGTGCCTCAGAAGGTCTGATTCCAACAGGTCCTAGCCATGAATACCATATGCACAGTTCTGCTCTGCGCACTGGGGTCACCATGAGTCAGAGTCAGCTAACAACAACAATGGCACATATAACATTTACTTATATTTTCTCTTAAAGAAGTAAGTATTCACTCTTCATTTATTGTTGTTGTCGTTGTTGTCAAGTGCCGTCAAGTCGGACCCGACTCATAGTGACCCCTCCTTGGATTTCGGAGGCAGTATCACTATGGAAGTAGATTGCCCAACCTTCCTTCCAAGGAGTGGCTAGTGGGTTTGAACCACCAGCCTTCTGGTTAGCAGTCAAGTGCCTTAGGCACTACGCTACCAGAGCTCCTAACCACATCTCCCAACTGACTGCATCGGACTCCTACTGAGCCCTCCTTGAGTTCCCAAGGAGGGCCCAGTCGAGAAAGAGACAGCCATGTCTATGCCGTGGGGAGTGTCTGGTGGGTTTGAACCACCAGCCTGTCGCTTTGCAGGCAACTGCCTTAGGCCCAGAGACATCCTCTAACTCATTAAGTACAATAAATTGGTATAAGTGGCTTTTTGTTTGTATAATGGCAATGAAGTAAAATAGAATATTAAAGCACTAGGGGATTTTTGGAAAATGTATCCCATTACAATGCTTTAATGTTAATCATCAGTGGTTATTTATTGATTGCGTTAAAGGATATATCTTAGTGTATGCCATTTGACAAGACTGCTGTATGAAAGTTACCATACTTGTAAAGTGAGAAAGGTGTGTTTTCACTTTTCAAGAACTGAGAAATAATTGTTTGGTTTAGGACAATATTATAATTTTTAGAAACATTCTTTTACTTGGTGTTTTGCATAAAAGGAAAGTAAATATAAAACTTGGAGAAACTATATAAGCAATAGTCAACTGAATTATAAATCATGTTCTAAAAATTGATTCTAACAGTGTTTAGCAAGTAAATGAAGGCTTTCTTTTAGAGATAATGTTAAGAATGTTAATGAGGATCACCTAAGCTTATGTAATTCATTATGTTTTGAAAGATAATGTAGTAAAAAGATTCTTATCTGACCCAGGCATTACTACCAATTCATTGTGTGACCTTGGTTTAATGATTAAATCTGTAGTACAATTATTTCTGAACATTTCTCTTGCCATGACTTCTAGTATTCTAATTGCCAATTACACTTTGTATTAGTCTGGGTTCTCTAGAAAAGAAAAACCAGTGACACATATATATAAATAGAGAGATTTACTTCAGAGAAATGGCTCATGTAATTGTTGGGGCTGGTAAGGTCCCAATCAGTGGATCAGACTACAGGCCAAAGAACTCTGCTGGCTCACATAATTGAAAAGGCTGATGGACCCAAACTCTACAGGTCAGGTGGCAGGCTGAAAACTTCTACAGGCAGAGTAGGCTTTGCCAGAACATCGATTTACATAGTGGAAGCAGGCCACACCACTGAGGAAACCCCCGTTTTAACTGATTGGCTATTTACATCATCACAAAATGAAAATTGATTACATAGTGTCTGCCAAATCACTGCGGATCATAGCCTAGCCAAAGTGACACATAATGTTAACCATCACTTAGATTGTTTTATTTATTTATTATTTTATCACTTAGATTGTTTTATAGTTATCTTACACACACCTAAAATTGAATTTATATGATGATAAAACTACAAGATGATTCTGAGTCCTTTTAGAAATAATATGGTGTTTTGTTATTCAAAGCATAGTACTAACAACTTAGTATTTTGTATAATGAGGTAAAATGAGATAAGGATTGAAGACATGTTTTTATGTGTATTCCTTCGCTATAGCACTACTATTAATCTTTCCCTGTACAGGGCCCCCCTGCAGCAAATGCAGGAAGTTACATTACTCACAACTTGGTAGTTGTTGCTCTTGTGTCTTGGGATGGGGTCTTGTGGGATGTTTGCTAAGGGGAATTTTCAGACAGAGCTTTAGAGCCAGAACATGATACCATGAAGTTCCAGGTCTTTCTATTATAATAAATCTGCCGAAATGCTTTTCAACCCAAGTGTTCCTCATTTAACTTCATTCTTTTATTCTAAAGTCTACAGGTCTCAGGAATTGGCTTTTCTTATTTTTTTTTTTTTCCCCTACTCTCACCCCATTTTTCGGCTTCCTGGAGTTTCTTTGCTCCCCTAAGAGCAGTGTTTTTGAACATATGTTGCAGAGAAATATCCAAGGCTGTTCCATCCAGCTAGAAAAATATACCAAGAAGTCTTACTGAGATGGGATCTTCAGAGATGTCCTTTCTGGGGATATGACATTTAAGACCTAAAAGTAACAATAGCAAAGTATATGCTGTTTCTTGAAGCAAGTATGAGCTTGGTGTGTTCATGGGGTTGAAAGAAGGTAACAAATGAAGGGGAGAAATGGCAGGATTTAGCAGTTGTGCATGTAAAGAACATGGTTGAGGGATTTGGTGAGAAATGAGACGAGAGAGAATTTGAGGGAGAAGAGGCTCACCTGCCATTCATAGATACAGTAAGTCCCCAGGTTAAGAACATCTAATTTACAGACAAGTCGTACTCAAGAATGGACTGGCATGAAGCCTGTTGTATTACAAATTTGAGTTAAATACCATGGTTCATAATAATGAACACATGCACTACTTTATGATGCTCATGAAAACATTGCAGCCTGAGCAGGTTATCTACTTGAGAAAGGAGAATGCTCTCTGCCTTTTTAAGGCAGATCATGTCATTAACGATGTGTTGAGTATGTAGCTTTGTATTTGGCTTAAATTTTCCTCTTTATTCTTGTAACTATGCCTCCAAAGCATAAATCCGATGAAGTGCTGATGATGTATCAAAGAGAATTGAAAATAAAGTGGGAATAATAAACCAACTGGAAAGAAATAAAATGTCATCAGTCATTGGAAAAGTGATAGTCTACAATCCATCAACGATTGCAGCAATTTTAAAGGGTAAAGTGAGAACATTGGAACGTGTGAAAGGTTCTGCCCTGATGAAAGCTACACTTATTACTAAGCAATGCAGTGGTTTAGTTACTCAACTGGAAAGGTTACTGATAGTTTGGTCAGATGATCAAAATCAGTGTTGTATGCATAGTAACCTTACTTTGACACACACACACACACACACACACTGCCATCGAGTCAGATCCGACTCATAAGGACCCCTCCTTGGGTTTCTGAGGCAGTATCACTATGGAAGTAGATTGTCCAACCTTCCTTCCAAGGAGTAGCTGGTGGATTTGAACCACCAGTCTTCTGGTTAGCAGTCTAATGCCTTAGGCACTAGGCCACCAGAGCTCCTAACCTTACTTTAGTGGGGGGAAAAAAAGACTCAAAGCCTTTTCCGTGATTTCAAAGCTGCATGTGCAGCAAGTGACGGTGATTGTGATGAAGAATATGTTTCAAGTAAGGGTGAGTCCAGTCATTTGAAAAGAGGGAAGATACACGTAATACTGAGGCCTCGGCTGCTATAAGTCTGTTTATGACAAGAAAATAAAACCTCTTAAGAACAAACTTCCTGTAATGCCTAATTCAAGAAATTGACTCTGGTAATAAACCCCTAGCTCCAGCAATGGCATCAAACCCTGACTCTCCAGCACCAGGTATGCCCTTTCCAACACCAAGCCCATCATCTTCAACAGTAGCCATCTCTCCATCATCTTCTACATCATCCAGTTACTAACATTATCAAACTGTTAACCTCATGAATGCCCCTTCCAATATGCAGTACATCAATGGAACGAGAGTAAATGTTAACCTTTAATCATGTTTTTTTTTCTTTTTCTATAAGAAGTGTTTCTATAATTATTTTTTATAGTACTGTATACCTACATACAGATTCTCTTTTTTCAGTACAGTACTATATGTAGTTTTTATTACTGTATTGTTATCATGTTATACTTATAAAAAACCAAAACAAACTTAACTGCTATCAAGTTGGTTCCAACTCATAGCGACCCCGCCTTGGATGTACGAGGTGGTATTTCTACAAAAGTAGATTGCCCAGTCTTCCGAGTAGTGGCTGGTGGGTTTGAACCGCCAGCCTTCTGGTTAGCAGTCCAGTGCCTTAGGCATAAAACTGGATTTTAAGGGGCGTTAGAGTGATTGTGTTATAACTATAACGTCATAGTTATAACTGTAATGTTATAACTTTAATGTTATAACATTTGGAGGCTTCTGCAGTAGTCTGGGGAAGAAATAATGGAGTCTAGAATTAGGACATTGTAGGAATGGATAGGAAGGGACACATTTGAGAAATGTTTAGGTGGTAAGAACAAATATGATTAATTCTGTATTCCACTATAGAATTAATAAGAATAACTCAAATTTTTGCTTTGGAGACTAGGAGAAAGAACACTTAACTTTGAGGAATCTGT